GGGGTCGCAAAAGAGGGGGGGGGGGTAGTACTCACCAATATCAGGGCAAACAAGCAAAGCTGCATTGAAACTCAGCCAATCTCAATAAACGGATCAAAATTTCTGAATGATCAAATAAAGATCATCACAAGACTGCAAGGTAACCTTTGATGTAAAGCGAAACAAAAAAACAACAAAAAGAAAATAGATATATTCAGGAATCAAGTTATGGGTAGAACGAGGAGAAAGGAGAGATGAAGTAGTGGTTTAGTGGTAGAACATTGTTCACCTAGATCTAGAGATGCGATGTTTGCCTCGAAAGCTATCACACCTGGACCTGATTCGATTCTCGATTCTGCTGACGTATTAGAACTTTTAAAATTGCCTTTCACTCCCACTCCCAAGGTGGCAGGATCGAGTACTCGTTTTTTTTCGGACAGAGAGATGTTGAACTCACTAGAAGATGATTCATAATCAGTTGTAAATACATCAAGCTCTTTAAAACCAATAAACACTAGTGAAATCACACAAAAACTAGCTATCTAATCATGTACGCGGCCAGTTTACAACGCCTTTCTCAGAAGTGCCCCTTACTACATTTTCCAGCATTTTAGAGCACTGTAAGGTTAACAATCTTTTTTCAAATTTGACTCAAAGTTACAAACGTCATCTCCTTTTCCAGTTTTGAGTTACGAGTACGACTTGAAGCATAGAACTGATTGGTCGTAAACATTTTCCGTCCAGGAGGCATCGTATAAATTAATGAAAGTAAGAAGTTTTGAAAATTATCGGTACAGTTTCTATGTATTGAACCTATCATTAACTCTGCAAGAATCTTTATAAGTCACGACCTCTTGATCCAAGTCAATCTGCATAGTTGAAGTTGTTTCAATCGGAAAACATAGTTGCCAAGTTTAACTTTCAAAGCTACAGATATTATTTAGATCTTGATCAGTAGGAGTGGCAATGCTATAAAAGTGAAAACCCAATACTTACAAGAGATGCAAACTGTGACAACGAAAAAATTGATGTGTCCGCAGTTCTGAAACTCCGCAAACTACACGTCTCCGTAAACAGATATTTCAGGCTATTAATTACCCGCACCGAGAGCGAAAAAGCTGAATAATGTGCTCTGTGCTTGAATCGAAACGGCCTAAAGATTCACGCCTTTCGTAAAAAGTCACTGGACCTTGTCAACGCTGTGACAGCGCCTGCGCCC